ATCAAATGGGTGCTGTACATCATCTATTGGCAGTAGTTCATTGTCACAGTCATTGCAGTACTGTAACCTTTATGTATGTTCATATGAAGTGATTTATCGAGATTTAAAGCTCAAACGTATGTGGATAAGAATTTCAAACCGAAGCTTCAGATTCGGACTTGCAAGAGAGGGGCCAAACGAGGGGAACACACATGTTCAACAGCAGTAAGCATTTCTTTTCTTTCTGGTTAATCAAATAACTTAGGAATGTTGTTTGCCCATCAACTTTTTTGTAATATTATGATGTTTTTCTATGGTGATCAGGTGGTTGGGACGTATGGGTATGCAGCACCAGATTACATTGAGACAGGCCGTCTCACAAGCAAGAGTGATGTGTGGAGTTTTGGTGTAGTATTATACGAGATCCTTACAGGCAGGCGTTCCCTAGAAAGAAACCGGCCTCGTGCAGAGCAGAATCTTTTGGAATGGGTAAAACAGTTCCCGGCTGACAGTAAAAGATTCAGTTCAATAATAGATCCCCGATTAGAAGACCAGTATTCTATTGTTTCAGCTCACAGAATTGCTAAATTAGCAGACACTTGTTTAGTGAAGAATGCAAAGGATAGGCCAAAGATGAGTAAGGTGGTAGAGATATTGAGGGAGATAATTCTAGACTCAGCTGAAGGGAATCATCAAGAGATAAATTTCAAGCGCGTAGACTCAGAATCAAATGACATTGAAAATGAAACAGATCAACTTGAAGGTCCTCAATCATGGAAGAGGAGGATGGCACACCTGGAAAAACTGAGCGAGCATGCAGATGGTGTACACAGAAGAAGGTTGATGATGCAGATGGCCAAAGTGCCTTGACATGTCTTTCGATTCATTGTTTTTTTTTCTTTGTAATCTCCTTGGTTGCACAGATAATTTTTTTTTAAATAGGTTAATCTTGTTTTCTTTGATAAAACTTGAGTAGATAACACCCGAAGGATCAGAATCGAAAAACCTCCTATCATTTCACGATTATGACTGCCATGACAAGAGCAAAAAAAAAGTCTTGCAAACTATTGCTCACCCGATGACATTAAAATAAGAAATCAGATTTCTTGGACACTGGATTGCTTTTGCAAGCAGATAATTAGGAATCTCAGATGGTTTTTTCGTGAGGCAAAGCCAGCCTATCTTACAGTTGCCATTGACTGACCAAAACTCCAATGATTTTTTGCCATCACACCGCCTAAATTTGACTCATTCCAGCAATATCTGCAGCCAGAAACCATGCAAATTATAAGGCTTTAAAGTTCCTACATCATCTTTCATCTCATTACTTAAAAAATGTGATGCCCTACATAACCTGTTACTATTAACTCATTCACTTGGTCACGAACTCTATATATACATAAACACATACATACATGCATATATAATTATCTGGTAAAAAGATGAATGTGAAGATCTAACTCCTTTAAGATCCACCATGGTGGGAATGAGGCATTCAGATGGATCTTATAGGAGGTTAATGAAGCATAACTATAGAGATCTTTCTCCTGGAAGGCCTAACATTATCATATTGCAAGCTATCTGTAATATTTGATAGTAGTTAAAATGATTATCAGTATACCAAATTCAACAGTCTATTACTACAACAACACAATCAAATTCAGAAGATCCAACTCTGCTTCATTCAGGACAATTACATTGATATCATGTGGTTTGAGATTTTCAAATTTCAGCGCAAGCAGTTTATTTCTAACGGTTTTAATATTTGTAATGAACTCTTAGTTAGGTAATGTAACATTGTTAATTTCAATATATGGGCAATTTATATTTTAAAATTTTTAACAAGTGGATGATTCAATTTATATATTTTATAATTAGAAAAACAATGACTAAAATCTACAAAAATTAAAATAAAATTAAAAGAAACAACGAGATATAAACTGGAGAAGCATTGAGGAAGTTTGCATACATTAAAACTAACACAATTTTTAACTTTTGAAAGAATCTACATAATCTAATATGAGCTTTTCATGCATCAAATTTTCTAAAAAATACAGATCATCCACATGTTCAAATGAAAACCGTGACTCCTGAGTCTGCTAAAAGTAATTATGTATATTAAATATGAAAGTTCTCAAATCACAAGAGTCAGCACTACAACTGATCCAAATTTTATTGAAAATGCCACAATGTGATCGCATATAAAGATACATACCTCAATTAACCTTTCGGACTTCTCATAAAGCTGCTTAGATCTCCACAACCTCTTTTTAAATGTTAATTTCACAAAAAGTTGACATCTCGACA